TTGTATAGATTCCTGGGAAGTCTCTTTGCCAGATTCTTTGTCCTACCGACCAAACTGCACCAAGCTCAGCATTTGCCTGTTGTGACAAAAACAGTTAATCCAGAGCTGCCTATCCTCTACAATGAGGGTTCTGTACAAACTCATTCCTACCGCCTTCCCTTCCCCACCGCAAGCAGATATCAACACACGTAATGATGAAGAGAGGAGCACTGGGAATTCTTGTTTTAATAACTACCATTGCTGCTAATTCCTGACCCATCCTTCTGCCAAAGATTACCACCCACACGAGCAAAGTCTGCTCACAGCAGCTGTATCAATTCAGGCTGGCAAAGCAGCTAAAACCACAGAGGATAGTTTGTATTCAGACTGCCGACTGGAGTTGCCAGAGGACAAGCACAGCTTATTTTCTCCTCAAAGAGATGTTTCCTTCTTTAATGTAGGCTTTACAGAGTGCAGATGTTGTTTGCATCATGAAAACAACTTAGCTTGAAAGTCTTGAATGTGGATCACATTTAAAATGGTACCATGCTCACTACAACTGCTTTCCCACTGATGGTTTTAAGGGCTGCTACTGTGTTGCACATTGGTCAACAGGTTCAGAATGAACAGCAATCTACCAGAAGAATAACCAAACACCGGTGTGGGTAATAGAGTAATATCTTTGATTTATGTAGCTAAAGCCTCAAAATGCATCTTGGATCCAAAGGAAGTGCAAAATGAAGTGTCTTCAGAGTTAAATTTGATGGTACAACTAACATCAAGTTATAATTCACTGCACAAGTTATTCTGCATCTTCACATAGAGTACAACTGCCCAGAATCAGATCTTCAGACCAGAGTCACTGCTTTCCTCCAGCTGACTACCCTTTATTGTGAGGCTTTCTAATAAAAACTCTAGGTTTAGAGAACTCTATGTCATGAGATTACTTGAGAAGGACAAGAAGCAATAGTCAGATTCGCAACTTGAAGATCTTTGGAAGACCAGCATGCCACCTGCTGGTCGTTTGTTCATGGCACAGAACCAAGCCCGAGGCTACTTAAACAGAAACCTCACAGACGAAAAAAAAAGTCACTGTTTTCAAGCTTACATGAAATTGCTTCAGTATCAACTGGAATTTTAAGAAGTACTTACAGATTTGATAGCAGGAGGGATTCTCTTCCAAAGGTACCGTGCATTGTTCCTAAAGAAAGTTTAAAAGACTTCTCAGTGCTTTTCCTGAACACCTCCCCCCACCAGTCTATGTGTATTTATATGTAGTTATAAATACATACACATACCAATGTACTGATATATTGTAAAACAAAAGCTTAAGAGCACGAGCTAAAAATGAAACACTAATATTATCTGTTAATGGTACAAGTTCTGTTAATGGCACGGTTTTATAATACCAGATCAAAATTCATTTGAATTAACCTAATCAGCAACCTCGGGACAGGATGGAATTCGCCCTGGGAGAATGATAGAACGGCTTAGATTGCACGGGGCCTTTCAAGATCATCTAGTTCCAACCTGGAAAAGAAGGGCTCGTCCGGGATTTGAACCCGGGACCTCTCGCACCCTAAGCGAGAATCATACCCCTAGACCAACGAGCCGACAGGCTCCACACGCAGCAATGTTATGTACTCTGCCTAATTAACACCACTTCAATAAGGTTTGGAGTGGAAAGAATTGCAGCCTTAAAAAGCTGCAAGTCAAAACATTGAAACATTCAACACTTTCCAAAGGAGCCAGATCCAGAAGCAACTTTCAAAACTCAACTTGTTTCCCTGTGATCAGGGAGAGCAGGGAAATGCCAACATAGAACTCTTCCTGACAGAGTAAAGGTAGAAAGATTTAATTTGGTTATTGTTTGGATGTTCTTTTTTTAATCTTGTTTATTTTAAGTTGACAGCATTTACCTCACATTGTTTCATATTGTTATCACAGACTGACTGTTAATCCAGTAACTCCATATCAATCTGGGTCAGGCTAATAGTAACAAATCCAATATCTGAGGTTAAAGATTAATAAGAGCCACTTACATGTCATTATACAACAGGTATAAAGCTAGAAGTTGGCCATAAACAAGGGGTGTTGCGATTCCTCCAGGAGCCTAAAGAACAAGTGCAGATCACTGGGTTACGTATTTTAAAAGCAGCTGAGTAAAACAGAGCATTTCAAGGGAGTTTTTTTGTATCAGGCAATGGCTGCAGACAAGTCATTGGAGGCTTATATGCTTCGTTTACAACAGAAGTTATCACAACACTTTATTAATACAGCTGTACCTTTATGACAAATAACTTGCATATGCCAGAAGTTTCACTTATAATGCTTACTTTTTTTTTGCCATAAGAAAAATCACATACTTCCATACCCCAACATCCTAGCTCTAGCTCACAGAAGCAGCAACCAACTTCATGCTTTCTCAGAACCACCTCTTCTAGTCAATAATGTCATCTCCTCGTCATCTATCTTGACCTCAGCTTCAGCTCCATTCAGGGAACACCACACCAGACAGTTTCTTTGCTCATTTGAGCCTCTTAAAAATCCCAGCCAAGCTCTGACACTAACCACACTTCAGCAGACCTCATAAACGATATGAGTGAGAAAAGAACTGTAATGAATTCATAAAACCTTGAACATCTACCGTTGTTAAAAAGATTGATAAGTAAAGATTGATAAATAGCTGAAAAACTTATTGGAAAAGGGCAGTGCAGAAAGGACTCTGAGAAAGCCAATTATGCAGCCATTTCATTTACTTACACCTGCAACTCACAGGTCGACCAAAGCCAAAAGGAGATGATCAGCTGAGTCATGAAGGAGGCACCATCTCCAGCTATTCTGACACCATTCCCAGGCATCGTTACCCACCTACAGATACAACAGTCTCTGCAGGTGTTGCAGCAGGGAAGCAAGGAAGGGATGCCAAACTCTGGGATGCAGAAGCAAAGCCCCAAACCTCCTGGGCTCCATTCCTGACACCCAGAAGGCAGCCCACAGGTCAAAGCCAGGACAAGGCAGGCTCAAACCAGCTGCCTAGGCCAGACAACAACCACTGCTCTGAAGGCTATTAAATTCAAATGAAAAGATAATGGCATATATAGAAATAAGCTGTAAATGAATTGACATTTCCCAGTGGGAATCCATTTAGTACAGCAACTTAATACACTGTCTGAGGAGCAGCACCACTTCATTACCCTAACTATCCCTCTCCTCACGCTTCCTTAATTAACACCTGCACTGTAAGTGCTGTCCAGGTGCTCCTTCGAGGATCTGCTCAGCTATACAGCTTCCAACTAAAACACACAACTCTTCCACGTAGTACAAGGGTACACTTCTTCACTATACATGTGCACCCATCACCTGAGGACTGCCCCTATTTCCAGCACAGCAGCTCCTCCACAACTTCATAATGCCCCTCCACTGAATTAGGGGCATACTAAGAAGCTGCAGCACCATGGCAGAAGCATAAGGATGCACCTGAGCTCAGCAGAGAAACAAGAAATTGAAACTGAAGATTGTTTTTTTTTGTTTCCAAGTGAGGCTCAGCACTGCAGAACTATTAGCCGTGCCTCCTTCCATTTAAGGATTATTCTTTCCCCTTTAAAACTCTGCTGCTCATCAACAGCAAGCTGAAAAACATTAAGTCCCACGAGCACAAGCAAACACTGACTACATCAACTCTCTCTTTTCAGTTGTTAAGATAACAGAATCTAAACTCAGAACCACTAAAGAGTATGCAAAAGGGGGGAAAAAAATCAGATTTGTCTTTTCTTTCAAATCACTACAGTAGGATGCACAAGCTTCACGTTTAGAAAAGTGCCACAAACTTCACAAGACGCCTCCTGAGAGCTCTATGGATATCACCAAAGAATGGGTACTAGCATCACCATAGCAGCATCTGCATTTACCACAGGATTTTGGTATTATGTTTATTAACACAGTACTATGAGATATTTGGGTTGCTGCAACACAGCCATTGGAGAAGGGGCAAGAAGGTGGAAACTGTTCACGTTTATCGGGGTTATGACGATTTGTGTGTGGGGAACTCCTTTTGTTGATCTAAGCTCATGAACACCGAGTGATGAATGCTGATCCATGTCGGCCTTAATGATAGGCCAGCGCTGCACACAATCAGATTCGGGGACTCTTCGCACACCCAAACTTAGAACAGCACACAGGAAGTTCCCAAAGCAGACCCGCTATCCGAAGCCTCACAAACCCAGACGCAGCTCTCCCTGCCCAGCTCGCTGCCCGTCTCCTTCCAACACCTCTCTTTCCTCAATCACACGGCACACGCACACAACCGGACCTCCCTCGCTTTTCCCCGCCAGTTCCGAGGCGCTTTCCGCCACCACACGCGGCCAGCTCGAACCCCAGCCCCGCAGCGGCCCCCCGCACCTCCAGCTCCTGAGTCTCGCACTGCTCCAGCAGCTTCCTGAAGCCGAAACCGCCCTCCGCCATCACCGCCACCGGCATCCTCCCGCGGCCACAACTGCCTCCCCTCTGGCGGCGGCCGCGCCTCGGCGTCACTTCCGTCTCAGACATGGCGCACTTCCGCCCTCGAGAGCGCAAGCCACCCCTCTCTCTCTCTAACTCTCCTATGCTCTGGGGGACTTGGGGGGGGCGGGGAAAAAAAGCGGGGGGGGGGGGGGGGCGCGCGGCGCTGATTCGGGGCGGGGGGGGGGGGGTTGGCCTTTTCCTCTTATTTCCCTGCGTCTGGGTGCAAATGAGTGGCTGGGTTCCGCTCTCACGCCTTGCCTATGGGGTGATGTGTAAGAGGTATTACACGTGGAATGTATAGCATGCTACAGCCCATATACTTGTGTGTAGGATATAATATTCACGTGCGTATCTCAATACCTATCTTCAGGTGTATCTATTTACCTCTTCCATCTCCATACGTATCTTCATATGCATCTCTCTATATACTTTCTCCATATCTGCACACATATAGGAGATACACATATATATATATGTATAAACAAGATGTAGGATACATATATCCAGAGTATATCCATTCAAAAGTGGCAAAAATGGGGTGTCTCTCCCTATATATCCTATAAGTGTATCCTATTGATGATATATAGATGCATACTTGCAAGAGAGGTAACACCATAACAATCCGCCAGGATAAACGTGAAGTAAAGCAGCTTTGTTCAGATAAATGCCAACGCAGATTTAGCTGTGTGCCCACAAAAGGTCACCCTGGGTCCCACTGGCCGTGCTGGGCTTGGGCAATGCCGCGGCTCCTGTATGCTGCCGGACGATGCTCTTGCATTAGGAAAAACAGACAAAATTGAGTGGTGAGAGCTTTCCGCGAGAGGGCACCAGCTGCAAAGGAAATGCATAAAACCTGGGGAGGCAGGAAGGTGCTTTTGCTGTTCAGTTCATCTTCTGACCACCTCCAAGTGTCCAGCTGTCCACAGCATGCCAGAATCTCGTTCTGTTTTGGGGCAGCCAGGCACCTTTATATAAATGTATACAATAAATACATACATTATTTTTTACAGTCTTTCATTAAGCTTCTGGGACAAGGGAGAAGGTGTTGCTTTTCAGTGCTGTTAGCTGAGCTTCCCAAAACCACCAGAACCACAGATTCCGTGCAAGCAGTATAGCTAGAAATGCCCCTTTCTTCTCCATTTCTTGTTTTATTTCTGCCCTCTTTCTCTCTGCTTTTCACCCTCCTCTTTACCACCTCTCCCATACCCTGCAGCCATGCTGGGACAGCTTCCACCCAGTGAAGAACAGCCTCTGGAAGTGAAATATTTCATGGAAAAATACAAATCCAGCCCAAACCTGCCCTGTTGCAGACCTGCAATGCTGCTTCTCTCTCCGCTCCAGCTTTTCAATAGCTGCACAAGGATGTGATAGCATTTCTGGGAAGGAAACGTGATTTTTTTTGCATCTTTTACATTTCTCACATCACCTCTTCTTCTCTGGGCTGAACAACCCTCAGCCACTCCTCACATGCATTGCCTCTGGAGAGCACACACACCCCAATCTCATCTCCATCTCAGCTCCAGCAGGATCCATCTATAAATCCCAGCTCCCACAGGCTGTCCCCTCCCATGTCAACTGATGGCCTGGTGGGCACCAACTCGTATCTCCAGACAGTGACTGAGATGGGTCAGCCCAATGGTAGTCACAGGCTCATCTGGTTTTTTTGGGAGCTTCTCTTTGATTTAAGCACTAAAAATCTGGCCCCTGGCAAATCTGGACAGGTTAAATTAATGGGAAATCTCTTTGGCTTGAAAGGATCGTGGTTCTGCTCTTGGCCCGTGGGATTGGAAAGCACTTTAAGACTTGGCTTCCAGCTGTTGCAGAAGTATAAAGTATATTTAATGTGATTTTTATTCAGCTCCTTATGGCAACGACGGCACGAAAATCTCAGAAACTCATTTACACCCACTATGAATCTTAATGCAGGGGTGGAAATGGGTTCGAGTTCTGCAGTACTGAGCATCCAAAGGAGCTATAGGTTGTTTTCAAAGGAGGCTCAGGCCATTTCCAAGAGCGATTGCTGGGGGTGTTGTGGCAGCTCTGTTTTTCCCCTGCCGCTTTCGTGTGCTGTCTGGGATCTGAAGGCACGCACTGCAATGCTGATGACTAAAGGTTTCCCTTTCTCATCTTGTTCAAAAGCTTTTCAGGGGAACAAAAGAATGGTGATGGGAAAAATAAGATGTAGCACAGTGATAGGGAACAATAGGGAAGTTAATTTAATGTGAAAGTTAAAGAAAATGATGGTAAAGGGTCAAGTTGAACTTCTCCACACCCTTCCCCATCTCCTCAGTACCCTGATTTATATTAGCTGTGTCTGACCCGAACGAGGGCTGTGCCTAAATACATTATTTCCTTCCATGACATCAAAGCCTGCTTGATGCTACCCGCTGCCATCAAAGAGGACAAACACCTTGTTTTTATGAGCTGTGCGGGGCGGAGAGGAAGCAGTGAGTGGCTGATGTGCCCGAAGGAGGCCATTTCCTACACCCAGCCCTTTTCCGAGTGCTTACAGCCTGCAACCACTTTACCCTCTTGTAATATTGCAGCCAACCCAAACAGCTCAGGTCTGCTTTGGGAATGCCCTGACACAAAGATGCTGAGTCCGCTGCTCTGGCATTGGGGCAGAGCATCCAAGAATATCCCCAAGACTGGGAACACTGCTAAGAAATTCTTTTTCCCAATCATTAAACCCAACGTTGTTTCATTTTCACAGGGCATTGTGAATTTAAGGTGCTGCTTTGCATCACATGGCGCTTGGTAGACAGGTGTTTACAGCAGTGTGCAGGCATGGCATCATAATCAAAGGAACGTGCCTAAACCAGAGATGCTGGGCAGCAGTGGGGGGACAAAAAGGAGATCCCACCCTATTCTTCCCACTATTCTCAAGTATGGCCGAGGAAAAAGTGGAGCGATTGCTTCTGCCAGCAGCTCTGCAGGCACAGGCTGCCCTTTCTTAACCTGCAAAGGGAAAAGGAGACCCTGTGTGTACTTAACCTAAACTTTGTTTTTATGACTCTCGAGGCATGTCTATGCATTTTCCTGTTTTTGCTTTGTTCCACGGGATCCTCAGCCAAGTTTCTGTCCCCTTCCAAATAACCCTGGCTCCTGAGCCAGCAATTCTTGCTCTCTACATACTTCAGTCCTCTACGGTGAAGACATTCGGTATCTTTGAACAGCATAACATCTCTTCTCTCCACCATCCACCACTCAACTCACTTGCTTAGAAATACCCCAGGTTTTGAGGAAAGGAAAAGAGGAAATCCCTGGTCCAGCAGAGGGGGTTTGAGGGGAGAAACAGGAGGATCTTCAGTGCAAAAGGGGAAATCTGGGGGGATGCAGGGGGATTCCTTGCGCAGCACAAAGCGTTTGAGTGATGGAGTGGGGCACTCAACTCCTGCAAACAATCCCTGTGCAGGAGCCCCCCAGCAGTGCCTCTCCTACCCTTATCAGCAGGATGGGATGCATGGGGCACCCCAGGGGTGCTGCTGGCACTTGGAGCTCAGGGAGCTCCTCAGTGACTCTGTTGACAAACTGGCTTGTGCTTGGCCAGCCTTTAAACAGCTCAGGCTCTGCCTAAAGCAACCCCACATCATCATCTGTGTGAGGTGGGACAAGCATCCTGTACCAGCAAGGGAGATGCTCTGCTATGAACCTCCCTGCCGGGTTCAGCATCCCACATCCCAACAGGAGTGTGATGCATTGCCATGCCTCCCAGGGCACGCTTTTAAAACCATTAATCTCCTGTTAAAAACACCTGTTCCCCCTACGAACCCAGTGGGATGGCAGGAGAGCATTTTGGAGAGCGTAATAAAAGACACGATTAGAAAGGCAGGCTTTCATCTGCGGGAGGTAAGGAGTTCAGGCAGCTGTGCCAAAACCTCTCACGCAGTCACTTCTCCTACAGCAGCATCCTAACAAAGAGGATCTTGTGTCCACGATGCCTTGTTACAGCCCCTTCCCAAGCCCCGGCCACCTGTCCATGATGTTCAAGGTTCCTTGCCCATAACATCCAACAGAATCAGATTTCACGGCCCCAACGCTTGTGACCAGCTCCCGGGCTTTCCTTTCTGTGACCCAAAGCCTGTGCTGCAATGGCCTCTTTGTGTGTTGTGGCTCAGGCTGCCAACAGCTGGTTCACATCCAGATGTGGCCCCACATATGTGGCTGAGGATTTCCTCATGGTGTGGGGACCTTCCAGAGCATCCTTTCAGACCTGCCTATGTGGGCCCACAAATGGAAACATGGTGCTCATTTGCTCTTTGGATTCTGAGGATCAGCTCAGAGCTGCATCTTGTTGGCAGGATCCACCAGCCAGAAGTGGCACTGTGACTCCCAGAAGCTGCAGACATCACTGTATCTAGCCCTGGGGACTTGTGGGTGTTGAAGTAGCACGAGTGCAATGCTGACATCCTGCTGCAGCTTGCTGTCTGTTTTCATTGCCAGCATTTCCCCTTTCTGAGCATTTGCACCATATTCACTTGAAAAGCTCAGCAGACGAGAAGCCAAGGAAGCAGGATTCCAACCACAGTCAGCAAATGCCTTGTGCTGCATGCAGGTGCATCTCCACCTTGCTAATGCAGCTGTGTTCAGGCTGGAACACAGTGCTCAGTGTGCAGGACACATTGCGCTCAGTCTGGAAGCAGACCCTCTGGCCAGCAAACACAGAGGCTTTTATCTTGTGTTTAGAAGTGGTTAACCTTTGTGGTTTTAAACCTCCTTGCTGGGTTTGGTATATGCATGTAGCAAGGGGACACTCTCAGGTCATTACAACCAGGGGTGCAAGCACAGGAGCAGGTAAGTGGAAAGCTCAAACCTGAACTACACCAGACCAGAAGTCCAAACAGGACTGGTGCTGACCTTGCCTTCCAACTGGCCCACTTTGAGATCCACACGTAATACAAAGACATCTCAACCATTATCTATGCTGTCACAGCACAGGAAAGGTTTCATCTCAACAAGACACCTGCATCATTTAAACCTGGAAGAGCTGACGCACTGAAGACTGCACTGCATGGGAAGCTTTCACCTTGGCAGGAGCACAGAAAGCAAACCAACAGGTCCTTTCCATCCTGAATTTCTCTGAGTCTTTGTAGGCAGGACTGCGGGGGAAGCACTTCATGAAACAAGAACAGGAAAAATTAGCTCTTCTGGTCTTTTGCCACATACTTTCCATAAATGCTGGAACAAGGCGGGTCTGAAAAGGAAGTGAGATGGATACAAAGCAAGAGGAAAAAAGCTTGGTGACAGAAATCTACCTCCACCAGACATGCCACATAATAAATATTTCACAGGGCAGGCTTTTCATCCAAGTCTCTGTGACGGAGAGGTCTTGTCCCACCTCTGCATCCATCACTTCCTCTGCCAGGATGAGAGGATGTCCCCAGCACTCCCCTTCCATCCCACGCAGGACATCTTCCTGGCTCCCCAGGAAACAGCAGGTAAAAGCAAGAGTCCTGCAGAGCCTCTTCCTGCAGTCTTTTTGCCAAATAGTGCGCCTGGGACCTCTCAACATGAAACAGAGTTTGCTTCTCCCAGCAGAAGTTTTTCATTAGAGAGGTTTGGGTTTTACGACAAGCTTCGTACATTCCTACAGATATTTTGTGACTTGGTGATTTCACATAAAATGAAGCTTTCTAAGAAAAGAAAAGACAGAGGAGAGCAAATGGAGAAGGCAGTACCAAAGAGCAGACAAGTGTGCATAGGTTGGATAGTAACGCTCTGCAATGGCGTTTGGGCACCAGGAGCCACAGATACAACAAGGATGCTCCCACAGCATTCATATAGGGACTAAGCATTGTCAGAAGAGGTGCACGAGGCAAAAAGGGAGTAAGGTTACATATAGGTCTATGTAAGGGTGGGTTTCCCATTACTAGACACACATGAATCCACTGGTACTGTGGGACATCCAACAGGGGCAGCTTGCAGCAAGTTGGCATGGGGTAGAGAGATGCAGCCACCATAATCATGTTGCAAATTTGCCTCCTTGCTGGGAAGGATAAGGCTGGGCATAGCCAGCTGGAAAAGATCCTTGAAGTGCTGAGTACAGGCTTGCCAGGCAATTAGCATTGCTATTGTCCACACTGGTTTACTCCTCTCACTGTGGGTTTTGTGTCTTCTTAATCATATCTTGATTGGCCTGATGGGAGGATGGGTCTGCAGGATTTGGGGAGTGCTGACGTGGGGTCTGTGCTCTGCTGGAAGTGACTGGTTTGATATCACTAATGGGGCAGTGGTGTGGGGAGATGGGCTTCTAGCATGGGCTGGGACTTCAAATCTAAAAGGAGCCTAGTAATCAATAAAGGGAAGTTGGTTAAAAGACTGGAACAATAGCATTCAGCATTAAAACAATTCCCAGAGCCATGCACACTCCATAAACGTGTGAGTTTATGACAACAACAGCAGCAAGAGTGCAACTCATAACATTGCCCTTTCCTCAAACGGGTTCCAGACTGACAATAAATGAGATCCCTAAGTTCTGCTTTTAGTTCTGCCTGTGAGCCAGAACAAAGCATTGCACAACCCCAGCAGAAAAGGCTGGGCCTCAAGGGCACCCCAATGCCAACGTCCTTGGAAAACCAGCAAGCTCCATCCCGGCACTCACGTTGGAAAAGGTGACCCATCCCAGCCCCACAGGGGAGAGCAGAGCAACGAAAGCCTCACTTCATCTGCCAGACATCTCAAGCAGAATTACCTTCTGATGAAAGCATCTCTGCTGACATTTTTTTTTGTCTTCCGGAAAGCAATGAGAGCGGAAAAATATCCATTCAAAATGAAACAGAAAGTTGCTCCTTTTCACCTCCTTTGTCTTCTGTGGAAGAGTTCAGTGAAGTTTCCTTTGCAAAATATTTTTCTTGCCCTTGCAGTTGTTTCAGCTCTCCCGGCTGCTCTGATTACTTACCACCTCCAGAGTTCCTGTGACATTTATTTAATGATCCCAAACAGCCCACAAGTGAAAGCTGAATGAAAAGAAAGCGTAACATTAGCAAATTATTACCAAGTCATTTCCACCTTCTTTGAATGCCAGTCTCACTGTGAATTTTTTTCTCCATATTAGCCTAGTTAGTCAGTTTTAGCACACTGGTACATACTAGCTTGGCACTATCACGCCTGTCAAACCTTGGCCCATTTGCCAAACTAGATGATCACTGTGGTCCTTTTCAACCCAGGCCATTCTATGATTCTATGATCTGTCCCACTCAGAGGGCTGGGATGTGAGCTGGGGGGCACACAGCAGCAGCGCTGCTCAGGATGGGACCCTGCTGGAGCCCTCCTCAGGAAGGTATTTTGGTGTGGACCCAGCAGCTCCACAGTTCTCTGGCTGCTGGTGCAGCTATTTAATTTAAGCCACAAAGCTATTTATTCTGTCAGAACACTGCGCTTTTATTAGCCATTTATTTACAGTATGTGGCATTCCCCGCGTGCACAACCTGCTCACGAGCACAGAAGGAGGCTATTTATTTTGGAGTCTTGTCTAATTTACGCTAACTGTGGATCAGGGACCCATAAAAAGGCTGGCAAGCAAAGCAGAGCCAGGCTGTGGGCTCTGGCTACATGGCCACAACAAGGCACCATTCATCACTCACCCATAAACACGCTGTGATGGCCATGGCCTGGGAGCAGATCTGGCCAAGGTGGGTCTGTTTTTTAATGCTTGCTGCACAAATAGGTGTGTGTTGGCTGCCTTGGGTTGCTCCATGTGCATGAAAGTGCCATTGCCACAGCAGGGAGCTTTTACAAGCCACACGTCACTGCAGCCAGCCTCCCTGCTTTGTCCATGAAGACACAACTCCAAGTGCCCAAGGCAATTTAGAGCTCAGTTTCCATCTACTGAAAGTACAGAAGGGGGAGAGACGCAGCCACGTTTCAACCTATGAGAGCAAAAAATAAAGAACGTGGTGATTAGGAACTGTTCTACAGCATTTCCTTCTGCAGCACCCCAAAGCATTCTCAGGGAGCCCTGCAGTGCCAAACTTCTGAGCAGAGCAACAAATAATCACTGTTTAGCAGCCTTTTGTAATCCACCCAATGGTTTTTAAATAAACTGGATGGAAAATAATGGAGATTTCAGGCCCTGGAACCCATTACTCTTGCATGCCAAGAGCAATGCCACTAAGTGCAACAAGGACCCTGAAGTTAATGAAATTCCTGCCTGAGCAAACTTCTGTCATGCTGTTCAGTAAAATGACTTTGTGCATCATAAAAGCAACATCACTCAAACTGTTAAAATGCCCTCTGTGTAACGTAAGGCAAAGGCACAGGAGGAATGTATTTGTTAAATTACATATAACCGGTCATATATATTTAAAATATATCTTTATTAGGTTACTGGAGGTTGTTGAGTTTAAAGCACGATGGTGGATTGATCAACTGCTGTGCCAGTGAAACAAGTCTCCCGTTTGAATAGAAGGCTGAAAAATTTTAACTGATTTCCATACAGAACAGCAATCCATCACCCCACCACGCCTGGAAAGGTTCCATTTCTAGAGCAGCTTTCTGTGAAAGTGCTTCATTGACAGTCAAATGAATAAATAGCTCAACCACTTCAAAGTCCCCAAAGGAGCATTTGTTTGAAGAAGGCATTTTTGACAACAGCATCCACCCTGTTTCCAGAATTCCTCATAATCCTCCACACTGACTGAAGCTCTGTTTTGCACGAGAAGAGAATTGTAGGGAAAAAAAAAAAAGCCTTCCAGACGGCTCTAATTAAGATTTGTCCTGATTAAATACATTTCCAGAGCTGGATTTTTGAAGTCCTACCCTCAGTCCAAGCGGAACCAGCTGCAAGTCGAATGTGGACTGAACTTGTGAGCTTTACTGGCCTTTGGATGTCTGTGCAGGGGATGGAGTTTGGCTGCTGGCTGGCATCTCACCTGCTGCATCCTGCACTATGCCAGAGGATGCACGGGACCGACTTCACTTCTGCTGGATGAAGGCTGGAAGGTCTGGGAATGCACATCTGAAGGGCTGACTGACTCGTTTCAACCTCCACTCTCCCCCTCCTTGAAGTTTTTAAAGAATTTAGCTGGAATTTATTTTCGAGATCAGCTACGTGCAGTGCCTGTGAGTAATCTACCCTGGCTACTTCCAGGCATCATTTATCATTTTCCCCGCTCCTTCGTTAATGGAGCTGCCCATAAAAGATCCAACAAGCCAGCAACTTGTTGTGCCAGTTCACATCCACGGAGCAGGTGAGACCAGAGCTTCATCTTGGGCATATTTGGAGCTTTCACTGCTTTTGGACCAAAACCCCCAGGACCAGCAGCAAAGCTGTTGATACACACTGATCACAGAAACAAAATCATCCCCCTTGGAGGATGCTGGTATGCTGTTGAGCAACAAAGGCATGGAAAGTATTTCCAATTGCAGGTTGCAGGGAGGTTTCTTGGAAGCAATCACTTCGCTGGTCTGATTCACTGACATAAACCTGGAGGGCTCGCTGTGTTTCATCTCCCAGCTGCAGCTGTCACCTCCTAGGTTACGTCTGGCTCCTGACTGAGCACTGTGCAGACCCATGGGTGCAGCAGGGGCCTTGCAGTGGTCCTAAAGCATCCCACTGAGAGGCAAGCACCCCAAAAATCTCAGCACTGTGTGAATTCAATCTTAGAATAGAACCATAGAACCATAGAATGGCCTGGGTTGAAAAGGACCACAATACTCATCAGTTCCAACCCCCTACTGTGTGCAGGTCACCAACCAGCAGACCAGGCTGCCCAGAGCCACATCCAGCCTGGCCTTGAATGCCTCCAGGGATGGGGCATCCACAGCCTCCTTGGGCAACCTGTGCCAGTGCTTCACCAGCCTCTGCGTGAAAAACTTTCTCCTCATATCTAACCTAAACCTCCCCTGTTTCAGTTTAAAACCATTCCCCCTTGTCCCATCCACCTTATAAACAGCTGTTTACATGCTCCCTGAGCTGTGTGTTACTCACCTCTCATTGCACTCCAGCCTCCATCCTCAGGCACTGCCCTATTGCTCTGCACACCCATCCTAGGGCTTGAAAAATACGAGCTGTCAAGAGCAGGCAGATGGAAAAACACCAGCAGGAGGGTGGCCAGTTGATGTCTTTAACACCTGTGGAGGTGTCAGCCCAGAGGATGGGTGGAGGGATGGACACCGTGTGCCTGAGATCACAGCACAGCCATCTCACCATGAGCCCCGCTCCCCTCGCAGGCATCTCTCCAACACACCATATTTTTTGCCAAGGGCTTAAACCTCCGGCAGTTCTTTTCACAGTCTTCTCCATCACCTCTGAAAATACCTGAGGCTGATCTTGAGCGGATATCAGAGCTCAGAGAATAGCTTTAAAAGGCAGAGGAAGGGAGACTGTCAAAAACAGAAAGAAACAAGAGTGGGGCAGAGGCCTCCTGGAGAAGGTCGTGCACAGGTGGTGACAGTTGTGGCCAGCACCTGTGACCTGGTGATGCCCCAGTGCATGGCCAAGAGGTAGCTCACCCAGCCCACCCTCGCCATGCCTCACAACCCATCTGCCTCCCCCTCTTTTTGCAGGGGGCTGGTGGTACCTTGCTTGTTTCCAACACTTGCCTGTTCTTCAAGGTTTGCCAGCAAGTTATGAAGTCCTTATGAGCTCAGTCTGCAGCCAGGGATAGTCCAAGTCCAGGGTTGATTCAGACGTGGGCTGGAAATGAGGGAAATTGAGAAAATGGGTGTGTGCTTGTGTAGAAATGAAAAAGCATAATTGCTTCTGCCCCTCCCAATCACTGTCCCATTGCCCTGCCTTGGGTCAGGCCCCAGACGTCTCAGGAATGTCTGGGCTTGCAATGGTCATGGCTCCAGTAAGCCTCCCAGGAGCCCAGCTGAAGAAGGCACGTGCTTCCTCTCAGTGTGCAAAAACACAGACGAGGACAACTTGGAGACCAGAGACAATCATCAAAGGTGATGAAGGGCTAAGAAGCCGTGATTTACAAGAGATGGCTGTGTTTTAGTCTAGGCCAGGACAGCAAGCAGAGGGGCATGATAGCAGCTTTCCAGCATGGAAAAGCTGTCATGGAAGGGCTGCTACAGGGAGCTGGTCGCAGCTGAGACATACTCTGGGTTATGCCACCTCAAAAAGGCACTGAGAGTGAAGGCGTTAGGGAAGACTGGGTCTGGATGAAGAGCAGCTGGGGACACTGTGACAACTTGGTACCCCCAGGCCCTGTCCCTGAATTTGCTTCTCCTTGGTATAAACAAAGTCTTTCCTTCTCATCCTGGGTTACGTCTGCCCTGCACCACCGGAAAGCTGCAAACAGACCCATTCTGTGTGTCCAGCTTTCTGCCTCATTTACCTTCCTGCCCCAGCAACCAGAGGACTGCAGCACTTCAGGGCCAACTTCGGAGGACTTTGCAAACCATTATCTCACGAGGGGTTGTTTTGCTCCATTCCCTTTTAAAAACAGGGAGCACATGTGGCATTCTGTGAGGCAGATGGCTGGCTTGGCGCTCAGGCTGCCTGGACCCATCATCTCCCATGCACACACACATACACGTGCTTTCAGCAGTGCTGGGGATCACGACCTTGCAGATGGTCTGGGCAAACTCTGTGCGGGACAGATAGATGGATGGATGAGGGGAACGCTCCGGGTCATTCCAAGCGTTTGGTATTCCAGGAATCTGGGGGGATAAAGGGCTTCATCTTGGGAGGATTTGTGATGAAATAACTGCAGGAGTTCCAGAGGGGATGTTTCACACCTCAGATGAAAGTCAGCAGTGTGTGGACACTGGAAAAGGCTCCAGAGAGGGCAGAGGAAGGGGTAAAGGTGGTTCTGGGGAGCACTGAGGTCATGGATGGGGGGTTCATTTGCTTTTCTCCTCCCCTCTTCCTTTGCTCTTGAGCTTGGCAACCAGAGAGAGACGCCCAGACCAGATGTCCAAGGCTGCAGGATATGACCCTTGGCTGTGCCGAGCATCATCGTCCTCTCTGCCCCAATCCCCAGGTCCCTGTATCAGGGTCATGGACAGGTTGTCCTGATCTGGCCCAGATTAGCGAGGCTGGGTCCAGAAGGAGAGGTCAGCATGGGATGCAGCTGAGTGGGCTGCTGTCCAGGTGGGTGCAGCTGGGGGAAGTTTGCTTTGCAAAGCTGCTACTTGTCCTGAGGTTATTAAAGGCACGCTTAGTGCATTATCATCTATTTGGGACCATGCTGGTGGGCCAAGCATCACTGCAAAGGCAAGAGGAGGTGCTTTTGCAGCCTTTAATAACATAATTTTAAACACCCCCAGGGTGTATCCACGGCCTAAAGCGGGTAACTTGTATGCATAATCAATGAATATTAAGATGCTATAATTACAAAATAAAGAAGAGAGTTAGGCAAAGCAGATCATGGTAAAAAAAGGGAATAAATAGAAAGCTTACCTGTATCCTGGGCTCACTTACAAAACTCCAGCAGAGCACATCTCCAGGAGAAATCCTTCCCCCCTCGTAGCCAGCTCTTAAATAGGTCTAGGAATTGTCTTCACCTGTGCTCCTCTGGCTGACTCATGGCTCACTTCAGGTGATCAATCAGAGGTTCAGGCCGTGACTGAGCAGCTCCCATACAGTATAAGTACATGGAGAGATTATATGTAATAGTTTCACAGATCACATTGCTTTCTTGTTTGTGTTGCCCTCTCTGTGTTTCGTTCATTGCCTTGTTTTTCTTTTGCTTTCTGTCTGCAGCATCTTGGCTGTAGGGCCAAGACCCCTCATTTTATCCACAGAACAATTAGCCTTTATTTGGTAAGAATTAAGAAACATTGCATATTTTGCTGTTGCTTTTCCAGTAGCTAATATCCCCTGTTTAACTACATTCCTTCTAAAATAAAAGAGTCACAGTGCAGCACAGCGGGTGGCTGGGAGGTAGCATCCATCCCCAGCCTTCGGTAGGGCTGCAGTGATTGGTAACAAAACCAAGGGCCCTCTTCCCATCCTCACTGCCAGGGAAATGAGATTTCAGGAGCTGGCCAGGACCCAGGGCTAAATGCAGCTCTGTAAAAGAGTTGAGAAGCTCCTGTGAATGAAACTCAGGGAAAAAGGCTGCCTCCGAGCCAGTCCTGGCAGAGAGGAACCTACCTCTGAATGGGGCTTTTCCCTCGTGTTTTCCTTCTGGCATCCTTCTAATATGACAGCAATTAAAAGCCCTGAAAAATGGATGGAAACAATTTGGAAGAGGTCTCTATTAGATTTGCTCTCATTAGCACTGCAGGCTATTTTTTCAGCTGCTAATTGACAGCTGCCTTCCATATGCAGCATCAAAAGCCCCAAGACATTACACCAGGGGTAATTTTAACCTGGACTGTCTCTTTGGGAACATTGAGGACCACAAGAAAAGCAACATGGAGCACACCACAGCCAAGGGAATGCCGAATGCTTTGAGAAAGCCATGGGTCCCTCAAAACTTCAAGAGGAACCTTAAAGGAAGGGGTTTCCTAGAGTGGGTTTTTTGCTCTAGGAGATGGAGAACTCCTACAGAAGCATAATTCTAGCAGGAAGGTGAAAATCCACAGAAGTGGGCTGGCCAGCAGAGCCAAAGCCTGGATCTGTAAGAGAGACAGAGATTCCTGGATGGATGTTCAAACCCCAGCATGCCACAGAGCGAGCAAGAGAGCTTGGAAACATGATGCAGAGCTGTGTGCTCGGGATATTTATGCAGCAGCGACCTTGGAAAGGACTGGAAAGCTAACAGCTCTGTATGCCAGGGCGGGCATTTGTTGTTTAAACAAATCATTCATGAGCTGTTGGGTTTCCTTTAGCAAAGCCTTCTTGGCACCAGACCCAGACTTGTTAGGAGAGCTGGCTCCAAGACTTGTATGGAAAGCATAGAAGACGTTCTCAGGTTTTGGCACAGGGGACCTCTTGCCTTGGGTCGAGGATAAAGCCAACACTGTGCCATTGCAGGGTGCCCTGCATCTGGCTGGCATCGCCTTGGATGGAAGCTTTGCTCTGGCTTTTCTTCTAGCTGGAGACTGCCGTGCATTAAGGCTATTTAGCTATTAGATGGAGACGCTATTGCTCTGAAGAAGTCATTCCTTGGGCACAAGGAAACAATGATGGTTTCCCCAAACTGAGGGCAGGGAGTTATCTGAAACACAAATAACCACTACAGGCCACTGTTTCTATTAAAGATAAATATGTGAGAGATCAAGTTCTACAGCTAACTTAGCTAATAGCTGGCTATGCAGCTGACATCTCTACATAAGCTCGCCCCTAAATAACTGAGCTTCAGAGCTGGCCAGGAGTTCCCCATTGAAATAGCTCTTTCGGGTAGACAAAAGCAATTTCTGCAGACTTGGAATTTTTCTGCAGGAAACTGTTTTGGAGGGTTCCATTTTCCCTTGAGAGCAAACAGCAAAAGAGCCCACAATCCTAACAACATTAAATTTCAGTTGGGTTTCCTCGGGATGAAAGCCCTGCAGATTGAAGAGCTTAACCAAGATGTTGAGTCTTCGCCAGCGTACAATGCGTACAGCGTTAACCAGAATCTCTAAAAATGTGGCCTTGCTGCTATCCATAAGCTGTTATCCTGGCTACATTCAGACTCAATTTCCCATGATACTTTCCATATTCCCACTTACCTGGGTGCCATAGGCCATAGACCGATGGCCTGTTGGGACAGATAGCCTTGAGAAGCCTATCCATAGCCTTGAGAAGACCAAGACCCTGTGCGACGGTTGGACTCGATGATCTCTGGAGGTCCCTTCCAACCCCTACAATTCTGTGATTCTGTGATTCTGTGATCTAAATCAGTTGAAGGTTACAACACAGGAATCATATATTGGTTCAGTATAGCTGCCAAGTAGGAAATTACTGTTATTTTAAAAGATACAAGCAACCAGCAACAAGAAGAGGAATCAGAAGATGTTTTTCGAGTACAGATGGTTTCATTTGGTGTTCAGGAGCACAGGATATCATCCCTCCACTGCGTACATGTCCATACGGATCAGTTAAATGGATTTAGGATGTGAGTTCTCTGTCTTCTGGATATCTTGGTGTAAATTCCCATATGGATGCTTTTATCCTGGTACAGAAGTACCTTCCCCTGTACAGATAATCTCATTTGGGGGAATTTAAAATGAGACTCTACTCCTGCCCTGGAATAACCATTCTTCTGGGGGAATCTACCCACACAATCCAACTGGGTTATCTGCCAGCATAAGAAAGAAAAGAGCTTTTGGAACTATGCTATGCTGGGCTGACTCGTACACCACTGAGCATCCCTGGGTGTCCAGCATGGATATGTGGATAAATTCTTCCCAGTATCCAATTTAGCTTCACTTGAGGCTGGATGGGCAGTGGGAGAAGGACTGGGCTCTGGCCCCATCTCCATTGCTTGTGACCTAGGTGGGTCACCACCAGGCTGTTTTCCCATCTGTGAGATGGGGACAACAAAGTGTCATAGCAGAGTTAGCTGGGTTTTTAATAGAGGCCTCTGGCTGAGATGTTGAAACAGCCCAGGGGATTGAGAAGCCCATTTATTCTGTACAATTCAAAGCAGGCAAATGACTCAGATTTCCTTGACACTTTTGAACATTAAAGTTAGAAAAAAGCTTTCTCTAAAGCATTTGTCTTGAGGGAAGCAGCCACTGGAATATGAGTCTTTCTTTTTCCAAGTACAAACGAGAGCAAATTACCAGTGGAGCCAAAATGGGGTGGGTTTTTTTTTTTTTCCTGGTTTGACTTTTACATTGAAACACATCAGATACAGATCTGAACATCAACTGCTCTGCATGCAATATTTGTGGTAGGAAAGCAGCCGATGCAATGGTCAGAAGGAAACATTTTGACTATATGGGATGGAAATGTTTCCATAATTTCCTGTTGAAACTGTAAGTGAAATCGATACATTTTCCCAAAATGTTTGGATTTCATTAAATTGCCATTGTTGGCCAGCTCCAATAGCAGCAACAGTGTGGGTTTGGTTTAAACAGCCAATCAGACAGAAAAAATTTTCTCCAGCATTGCCACATATTACTTCCTAGGCTTGGTAAGGAAGGGAGTGAAAGACAAGACACAAGAAGGCCTGTCCTAGGCTGGGGAGCAGGGGAAAGCTGCAGGAAGGCACCTTGCAATAGGGCCAGGGATTGGGATGCTCCAGTGCAGGTTGGTAATTAATTGCGCCATTCTAATTCAGGACAGCTGAAATACAGAGGCAACAGAGGGCATTTAATGGGCAGTAGCAAAGCACTGTGAAAAGGGAGACTGCGGAGTGAGGAAGAAGATAAAAACGAAGCAGAAGGAATGCTAACATTTCTTGGCTTTTTATCCATATGCCGAAAATATTTGATCCCACACAGGGGCAGAGAACTGAACTGTATAAACTCTTCCTTTGCTTCCAGCCCTGTTTTTAAAGGCAAAATGGATACATCTTGTTTTCATTCTGACTTTTACAAAATCTGATGTGGTTCTACGACTTCATTAAAAAGACATTTGGAAACAAACAAACGCAAGGCTTGACCAAAATCTTTATAAGCTAATTTCTCTCCTGGAAAGATTTCATTTTGACAAAGGGGAGTTTACCAAAGGGGAAAAAATAAATCACTCCCTTGGAAAGCGTTCAAGCTGCTCTTGTTTTCCTCTGCTTGTTGTTTACTGCACGCTCAGACATAGCAGCAACACCAAGGCTGTGCTTTTAAATCAGTGCCAAGTTGACCCCTTATCCCACCTATAGACCTTGTGGCTGTGAAGACAGACTTTAACCCAGGGTTGGCGTTGGCTGAGTGCAGAAACACTTCACCCAAGTCTTCATGTGTTATTACTTCCTAATCAAATGTCCACGGCCACATAGAATCCACAATAAACCTTTCCCTCCAGCCAGAATGGGTGATGGTGATAATTAGTTCTCACCTGAGATAATTGTTCTTCTACAGGCCGTTGGTCTGATGTATTGGAAACCCTAAAAAACAGAGAGTGAAAAGGAGACCAAGAGCTCCACTTGCTGATGTGAGAGAAGCCAAGTTGGGATGGATCACTTTCACTTGAATGCAACGTTTTTAAAAGGAATTTGTGAGAGATACGCAGAGGGAAATTCCTAACAGCATAAAAGGGAAGAAGGGATGGCTCATAAAAGAGCGATTCCCTCTGTTTTTTTTGGCAGCCCAGCCAAGCTCCCCAAATGCAAGGTTGTAAAAGGACTCCACGCAGTGCAGAAGACAATAACAAGCAGGTGTTATGGAAAATGACCCTTCCCTGAGCAGATTTATTCCTGCCATCTCTTAAATCTGTTTCCAAGGAGCAGATGCAGCCTTAACCTCGAGTCCAACAAACATGTACAGGTGCTGTGTTTTGTGGCGGATCTCGTGTCCCTCTGCCAGCTCAGTGCCAACAGGTGTCACGCCATGGACACCTTCCCACCACCCCTGAGCTGAGCTCCTCACCACCTGGGGCATCCAGCCACCAGGCACAAGAATATATAGCACAAGAGTATAGAAGTCAGTAGCTACCACCAAAAATAACGATGGGATGAGCATGAGTTCCCCAGGTGTCATAAGTACCTCGCAGCCTACAAGGGTCTCAATCATTCCATTCAATAGGGGCTCTTATCAGCTCCAAAAATCAGAAAGCATATTTCTCTGCTCTGCCATTGCAAGTGTAAACATGCTGAGATTTCTCCTATAAAGAAGCAGCCAGCCTTGCATAGAGGCTGGTTTTGAAACTAGCTCTTAATTTGCCTGCAGGCCACTCAGGCACATCTTCAACCCAATACGAATAAGAAACATACAAAACAGACAAACAAACAAAAAAAAAGCAACCCAAAATATGGTGGTGGGGAATATCCTGTCCTTGCACTGTGCAAAACTCGGTTATATTAGGCCATACTAATGAATGGAAATCTTCATAATCTGGTTCGTTTTTCCTTATGTCTGAGTTCCATGTTTTCAAACAAAATGTAGCTTCAATTGGAACCAAGAAAGGCAAAGACCAGCCAAAATTAGCAACTTCGGCTTGGATTTGTGCTGCTATTTTCCAATAGTCTCTCCTCAAAACCACAAATTAGCGCTGTGTAACTTGAAAACAGACTTTGCAGATGGGATCCTGATGGTGGGGATTTTCATGCAGGCTGAGTCCTGCAACAGAGCAACATTTTGGAGGCTGGTTTTACACCTCTCCTTCCCTCTTGCCCAATTCCAGGCCTCCCCAGTTTTCGCTTCCAGGTTTTCTTGTCCTCCATCCTGGTTTTGCCAATGGCAATAACCTGCAACAGAGGGCGAAACCCTCCTCAAAGCTGAATGCTTCACTTCTCAGCTTTCTAGGATGGATTTCCAACCACTTCCTACTCAGCCTGGGCTGCTGATTGTTTTCCTGCAGCCTGTGGGGATTCCTTGTTCACGTGCAACATGTCTCCTTCTACAGCTGAGCAGTGGAAATAAAATAATAACCCGAAAACACAACCCAAACCCAACCACAAAACGCTTCTTGGAGACTTTTGCTGACCAGAGCATCTCCTCAAGGTGGAATGAGGAAACGCAGAGAGGCTCCTGGTGGCACCTCCCCAGTTTCTCTGCAATCAAGAATTTAAACATTTGTTATCTCCCACGCTTGGTGGTTCTGGTTCAGGTTCAGCTGTGAGCCAAGTTCAACTTCTGCTGATGGGGAAAACCCTGCGGTGCAGGCCTGTGCTTGCTTTGACTTGTTGCACTCATGTTGCTTTTTGCATAGGCAGGAAATCAAGCACGAAGGTGCTCAGCCCCTCGGCATCAGTCTCTTTTCCAGCAAACAGCCCTAATCCTCTCTGCTTGACACAGTTTGAATCTGTTTGACACAGCTGCTAAGATTGCACTCAAGTCACATTTAAGCGTGTGCTTAAACACTGCAGCATATTTAATGTTTGCACAAAGGTGTTGTGCAAGAGCTACTCACTCCAGGTCCCATCATTCTTAAGGATTTATGTGCTGACAGAGGTTAAATAGATGGAAAAGAAACCACTGGGCCATTGAATCTAGAATAAAGCAATGATAGCACCTATAAATTAGGGCAGTAAAGGATTTGGACAGAAACAGCAATGTTAATTGCTACAAGCTTGGCTAAAACACCCAGATGTAATGAGGGGTTTTTTTTCTTTTTCTTCTTCTTCTTAAAAACAACCAATTTCTGACATTCTGAACTTGCTTTTTGCTGAAAGGGGTAAGAACCATTTAGGGCTTTAAAGCAACGAGATGGTTTCATAATGACTAATGTTTGGAAAACATGGAAAATTTTGTTCAAATAAACCAAAAGGCTGCAGTAAGCCTTCAAACAAAGTCGAAATTAATCTGTCAGAAATGTTCTCTTTGGCTCCAAGAACTCGCGGAAATGAGGAAATTTAGAGTTTGGAACAAAAAGCTGAATTATTAGCCCAGGTAAGTGGTTAATGAGTGCTAAATATACATGTCAAGGAAAGATATACAAACTGAAAGTGGCACTTCTCAGAGATTATGTAGGGAGGGAATAACGATAAATTAAACCCATCAAGCTGCCCCTTGGCATAGCCCAGCATCATTAGAGGCAGCAAGCTGCAGTCTTGCTCCCATGGCTTTGCCCATTCCTCCCATTCTCATCTCCCTGCGCCCACAGCTGCCCATTGAATCTTACCTTCAGGGCTGAGGCCCGCAGGCAGTGGCCTTTCTGCTCCTATTTGTGTGTTTTTACAGGGGTGAGGGATGGGTTGGAAGCACATATTGCCTTCTGCTGCTGGCTCGGATATCCCAGCTGCCACTGCATGGGCTCCACTGAACTGTGATTTATCTGCAGAGGAGTATGGGGGGATGCCCCAGTCACACTGTTTAAACCAGAGCTGCCAACCAGGCTCTCCTTTCAGCTCCCTGTGCCCCTGAGACTAAACAGGTTTGGGCTTAGCTGAAAGGCATTGCCCGTGCCAGGGGATTTGTCATCATCTCTTGAGCCTAGGAAATGCAGGACCCCAGCACAGGCACAGCTCCCGCTCGAAGGGGCTGAAGAACCTCAGGCGTTGTTTATTTTGGATGTTGGGAAATGGTAATAAATAAGGCCAAAAAGCAGCACGTGTGAGCACTGAGTCAGCTTTGGATACCAGCAAAAGAGATGATCTCAGAGTGGATGGGACCTCACTAGGGCGGCGGGGCAGGACGTCACATCAGCCTCTAGGGAACATCTAACCCCAGACACAGAGCTTTGTGCTGGGCTCTGGTACCTGATTTCATCCTGCTGCTGTCCTGTCCCTAAAGGAGCATTTTTACTCCATTTGGTTTTCAGTCATCTGACAAATGTGGTGAAAGCTGCCTTCCCTGGGAGCAATTTCCAAGCCGGACAGGGTGCCCTCAGGCTTTTAACTTCTCCTTCCAGCCCTCCAGATTCTATTCACAGAATAGCTCAGGTTGGAAGGGACCTCAAAGATCATCCAGTTCCAAAACCCTAGCCCTTACCTTTGGGCACCTTTTGGCATTGCCTCCTGCAAAGCACTGCCCATGGGTGTCTTCCAAGCTGATGGCTGTTTCTTGGGCAATCCAGAAAATATCCCTCAGTGTGTCCCGATACAGACTGCCTGCAGCTGCTCTGCTCTGCAAAGAGATGGGAAGCGTGAGAAAACCTGAGCTCTGGACTCAGGTTTCACAGAGCTGGGAGTGAGAGGGCCACGAGAGGGTGGGGAAAAGCCACCCAGTTCTTTAGATATTCATGAAAAAGGGGATGGAAGGAGGGATGCTTTACAGACTGTACTGGGAGGGACTGAATGCCCCAGCTCCAGGAGCACAGTTGTAATAGGGGCATGAAGTTAAAGGAAGGGATTTGAGGGATTTGCTCCTGTTTTATATTTATCCCTCCTTCCCTACACTACCACTGCCTATGGGGACAGGGATGAGGTTGGGTTGCTGCAGTGTGTGCACATGGGACAATCTCACAGCAGCATCACGATGCCATCCTATGGCTGTGGTGTGCTTCGGATGTCACCTGGTGCCAGGCACAGGGCAAGAGATACGATCCAAGCCAACCTCATGCTTCTGCCATCTATCCTTTTTTTCCCCCATCAAACAGGATTTTGTGATTATTATAGTTTTCTGCTAGGGTGAGAGTCTTTAGCAGAGCAATTGGATGCGTTTAGTGTTTAAAAACAAGAGCTGTGAGCCTGCACTTCTAATTTATAGACAGGATTTTACCAGTTGGATGAGCTTGTGTTGTTCTCCTATCCCCTCCAGGCTGAGGACCCCAGAGTCAGCCTCTGTGTGAGCTGCAGCTGAGCAGATGTGAGCAACTCACATTTTAGGAGAGGGGGAAGAAGCATCCTGATAGTTACAGAAGACAAGGGGTGGAGGATGCCATTGCAAACAATGTGTTGTTTTTTAGAAGGGGCTGACCAGGATTCGCTTGGAGGCCAAAATCCCTTTAATCACTAAGCTGCATTTTCTTCTCCTGCTTTATTTCTTGTTGCATGACAATGTGCTCAAGTGAAAAAAGCTATGGGCAGACCATGATAAACTGAGTCTCCTCCGTCTTTCTTCCAAATCCTCAAGAGGTATTATTTCATCCTCCACATGATACAGAAATAATATTTACCTCTGCTGCAGCCAAAATACAGCATCCACAGTGCAGTGCATGAGTGCACGTCTGTCACACATCTGGATGCCTGGGATGATGTAGAAGGGTGCAAATGCAGCCCTGTAACGTGAATCTAGCAGGAATGGCTGGCCACCACCCAAGGAAAATGGCCAACCCGTCAGTGCGGAGCAAAGGAGGCGGTCAGCCCTCATCCCATGCGCTCACACCGTGCCTGCCAAAGCAAACTGCCTGCCCCGACCCTCCCTGAGATTCTCAGCACATCCACGGTTCTGTAAGCACACCACGGAGATCCTTGAGTTATCTCAAAACACAAATAAAACCAGTGTGAAGGGAAGGCCTTAAGACGGAGTGGTTCTGTGCCGAGCGTTTCCCATCTCCTCCTCACACGGCTTCTTTCCCAGGGTCTGAGAACAAACGCCATGGACCCACCTCCTCCTAATGCCTTCCACATAGAGATACATGGCTGCACAAGACCATGGTCCCATCACCACTCAGTTCTGCCTATTTCCCTCAGTTCTCTCAAGTAAACATAATCCTGGAGCATAGAATTAGACAGCAAAGGCATCTCTAGAGAGACAAGAGATAAACACAGGTATTGCTAGAGATTTTCCATTTTTTACCACCTAAATTTCTCATTTTTTCTTTGAGAGCATGGGATTTTCTCTTCACTGCTTATAGACTTCACTTACAGAGGTCTTTTCATCTGGTAGAGAGGCAGGCAACAAAATCCGAGCCAGTCTGTTGGGAGGGAATTATGCAGCAAGTCGATGTGATGGAGCTCTCTTATTACCCAGAATGGTTATTTCAGCCTTGTTTGCAGCCTGAAAAAGAAAAAAAAAAATGAAAAAAAATTAAAACAATGTGATAAATTTGGTCTGAGTGTTTGGATAGTTTGTCAGATTAGTAACTCACTCTGGACACATCACTGGAAGTGCTCCTACCATTTTGATTAAGCGATTTCTGTAGCCCGTAATTTTCTTCCATCAGTGTAAAAATTATTGTGCTTAAGAGATGTTTGGAAAAAGGAGGAAAGCCAACAAAATGAGATATCAGGCTGAGGACAGCTAAGCTCAGGTGACAGTTCTTTGAGATGTCCATAACCTGTCCTGGTGGATACTAAACCACCTTGCCCGTGCCTGGTTGTGTTGAAACGAGGCCAACGATTGCTTTGATTTTAGCAAGAAGCAATGGTTAACTCCATTAACTCCAGCTCTTGACAAAAAAAGACAAAATCTGGTTCCCACGTGTCTCTTATTTTTAACATGATGATGCCTTCGGTATGGCGTATCTTCACATCACGCGAGATGATTAATTCAAATTGGCTCAGATGGGAACAGTCCATGAATGCTATGAGCTAGATGGAAGAAAAAGCAAAAAGGCAACCAACAGAGTACGTTGTTGGCAGAGCTGTGGATTCCATAGAGAGGTCAGAGTTAGGTCTATATATATATATATTTTTTTTGGTCATGTCTTTATTAATGACATGAAAACGGAACAGGATACAGTAGTAAAACAAGGAGAGGGGGAAAAAATGGCTAGTGCAAGCAATAGCAGAAAAATAGTATTTCTATGAGGTTACCTCTTAGATGACACCTGAAGAAGCATGTCCCTTTTTGGGCACCCAACTCCATAATTGGGAAGGAGCTCACAGAAGAACAACAGCAATGGTGGAGATGGAGGTGTTGAACTTGGCTCAAGGAAAGATTGGCTGGAGCAACAGGCTGTAAGTGCTTAAAGAAAACAAACACTCTGGGAGAAACCCTGACCTTGTCACAGCTGACGTTGAGACTTCCATTGACTTCAGCGTAGCCAGGATTTCACACCAAAGAGGAAGAGGAATTATTTGGCGGCAGGTAAGGCTACATGCAAGGGATACAAATAGAGGAGGCGAAACAGGAGTTTGCTATCAAAGGAAAACAGGGCAATAGATTTCAATTTTGTTTAAAGACAGCAAAAACAGGGTGCCAGCAAAATGTTGCAGAAAGAACCAACCGCAGTTTTGTAATCCTTTAAATTAGAACAAGGTTAAGTAAAACTAGTGTTACATATTCAGCTCCGAAGAGTGAGGAAAATTGAATGCTAACAAAAGCAATATTACACCCCCTGCAGCCAAACTCCCAACTGTAGCAGGAGGCAGCGTCTCCCCAGTTTAGACACAGATGGTTTTATATGAGAAATGTAAATAAGACGTTACCATCTGGGTAATAAAACACACATCTAAGCTGGATTTGATGGCACGTCCCCAGATGTAAACATTTAAAAATACTTTTTTTTTTTTAATGCTTTAAGACTTTCATCCAAAATGGCCAAGAAGGAAGAATTCTCACTGACATCAAAGTGTTGAACAGAACTGCAAAATGTCTTCTCTCTCTGTCTATCCTATAAATTATGAAGTTGTATTGAATCTCAATGCTGTCTGTGCAGCAATGTAACCAGGTTTTACTGCCAGAACGTACAATACGCTGCTCACGAACTGATGAAATCTAGAGGCTATTGGAAAACTTGTCTTCTGAAAATGTAAGGCAAAAGGCAAGCTACTTTCAGTCAGTGGTAACTTTGTTGAGATGCTCCACTTTGGAAATGAAATCCGTTTATGCATTTGAGTCAAAATTGTCAACTATTTGTTTGGTATACAGAGAGAAACACATTTTGAGGGGAATAGAAACATTGAGGTCTTCAAGAGACATTTCTTCTCGCGACTAGATGCCAAAAAGAAAGACAGCATGCTGGGAATGCTGTCAATTTGCAGGCCTGTTGGAGTCATCTTGTTTAATCCTCCACATAGAAGATACTACACATCTATCTGAATGTCCAGGAGCTTGAGGATGAATGCCTTGATGGAGGCAACTAGCTTTGCCTGCACATTAAGCAATGACAGGAAACCACAGCCTCGGACGCCAACCACACCAGCATGCAAACTGTCAGAGCCTGTTGCCAATTTTTATCTTTAGAAAGGGGTTGAGTTAGCAGGAAGATTGCCAGCATGAAAAAGAAGGCAAGATAGCATCACTCATAGTCCGCATGCACACACAAGGAGGAAACACCATTCAGCAACAATATAAAGAGCTTGCCAATTCCATGTGAGATAAGCAGCTTAAGCTATCCTCTTGCATGTGTGTTTTGGAAGCAGCTTTAGCACGACACACATCAACACTGCATAGTGCAAGACTCTTGTCATCTAACTCAAGCTTTTAATGACTGTTATTATTTTAATGTTTCCAACCATTGTGAATAGCTAACAATGGAACAGCAGTTTAACTAATATATCTGTCTCAAGAGTGCTCACTGAAAATAAAGAAAGAGAAATTGGTCTGCTCAGGTGGAAAAAGCAAGAGGAAAGACAGAGGTTTCTCCAGGGATCCATTAGGGAGGTTGCTAGCAAGGTGCAATTTGAGTCCAGATTTTCTGACCCATCAGCCTGGCTACCATGATGTTTTTGCTTCCAGTGAGATGTAAGATTTATTTCTGTGAGGCTCCTTTATCAGAATAGGACCAAAAAAACCCAACCAAACAGCTGCTAGCAAAGACTAGCAGAAAGGCACCAGGAATCAATGCTTTATCTGAAAAATACCCCGAGTTTTACTTTCTTTTTAAAATAAAGATTGATAAAGTTAAGAATAACCCACCAGCACCTGCTTTGAACTTTCATCTCTTTGCGTGCACAAGAAACACTGCGGTCTCAGGCCATCTTGGCCAAGCCTTGCTCAAGGTTGGAATGGGTTGCTCCAGGCAGACCTGAGAGATCCTACAAATCCCTGACAATATGGTACATGGAAATGGCATTTCAATTCACTCATTCCAAAAAATAAGTAAATAAGTAAATAAATAAATCTCCATTTCAACATCAGAACTTCAAGAGGAGATCTGTCAGTGAGTGGCCTCCCAGCTGGTCCCACAGTCTGTTGGGAAAAGCTGGAGAAACATCCGATAACACGACAGTTGTCTTATTGCATGAACAACATCCAGCAAGTCCATCAAGCATCAGGACCTGCATTTTTGGCTGGAACCTTGATGAACCACTGCTACATCACTATGGATCAGGTTAAACAGTTGGCAGCTTGCTGCTTTGATCACTCAGAAAAGGGGGGGAAAAAAAAAGCTTTCAAACCTATTTTGCAAAGCCTGTTGCAGGCCGTTTTGGGCTGCCTTTCTGGTAAAAACTTTCCGCAAGACCAGTCCAGTCATTTGAGTCATTGTACACTGACAGAAAGTTTTCACCTTTTGATTTAATTTTTACAGAGCTTTTTAAGAGGAAGCTGAAGATGTTTACTGACATGAACCTCACACACCTTGCGATTTTTTCAAGTAGCAGAAATGCTCCATTTCAAGGCGCTCTTTGAAATGCTTTCCCTTTTTTTCTGAGCACGTTTTAAGGCTGTGTCAATTTCCCTCATTAACAGTGAGAGGAGATTCCTTATCGGCTGCCTGGCACTGCGAGATGGTTGCATTACTCAGCCAGGTGGACACTAACTTTTGTTTAACTCCTCAATACTGATAGCAGAGGGGCAGGGCTGGGGTCAGGGTGCTGGCATCACCATGGGGCAGCCTTCCTTCCTCGTGAATGGCCAGAGGCACATGCATTTGGGACCTTCTCTCCCCATTTCTTTTAAATGCCATACCATCAGTAACACAGCAACCATGGCTGGATTGGGTTTCGCATGGTGACTTCTTGGAGGAGTTCAAACCAGCCCCCACGTGTTACTTTAACGGTTAATTCTGTTTAAATATTTATAAGAAGCTTCCTTCAAATACACCTTTAAAATAAAATAAAATAACCCTCAAAGCCCTACTACCACTTATTGCATCTTTGGCATAATATTTTCTTAACTTTTCCTGGGCTTTTTGCTAGCTGAGCTAAGCTCTCTCCTCCCCATAGCCCAGCCTGCCTGCTCTCCTCTTGCAGGGCAGCAGCCTGCCTTCTTGGTGGCTAACAGAGTTACATAGGACCGTAAGAATGTCAGGGTTTGCGGGGAGTAGGGAATGGAGGGAAGAAAAGGAACTTTTCAGATTCACAGACCTATCACAAGCACTTGGTTCTCACCTGCAAAAATCATCAGGAGCAAGAAAAAGTCCACAGAGCAAAACGGCTTACGGACACGAAGCATATCTGGCTTTCAATCCTAGGGACCTTGGTAGGACTGAAGGGCTCTTCTCTTTTCTCCTGGGTGGTTACTGACCCTGATTTGGGACCCATTTATGAAATGCTTTTTCCCAACTTGACCATTCTCCTGCCATCTCACCCAGGGCAGCAGAGCTACAGCCCATGGCCAATGAGACAAAACACCTCCGACTCAATCTGCCTATGTTTTAAGTCCCCTTATCACCTGGGACAAAGTAAATCATTTTAAGTCCATTGCATTTGCCCCCTTTCCATCCTAAAATTGTCTGGTGAGCAAATCCCAAGGCAGAGCTATCAGTCTGCCCCCAGCCATCTCCACTCCTGCACATGAATGCGATTCAATTTTGTGTCTTCCCGGGGTGTGACCTACTTCCATGGCCGCAGTACAGTTCATTATGAATTCCTAATGATCTCATTGTTCCATTAAATGAAGGTTGCCACCTGTCCCGAAGACTTTAGATCAAGCTGGGATTAACATATCTGCTGACCTATTTCTCCCTTTTGTAGGACACGGCCTCTTGATCAATAGGTTTTCTGGCCATCCAGGTTGAGTATGAGCAGCAAACGATGCTGTGATTCCCAGAGGATGCTGTGTGGCCTTACAGGGCTCCTGCTGATATAGGGCATGCTGGAGGTCCTGCCCATCCCATTTGGGCATCCGATTCCACCTGCACAGACACCGTCAGCAAAAAACAGAATCCA